CCTTCAAATGGAAAAACTGAGCAGAAGTTGTTAAGCAGTTGGTGCAACTTTCCTTATTCCAGTTTGGATAATCTATCAGAACGGTCACTACGAAAGTCGTTTTGAATGACTCCGCAAATGCTGATTCAAACTGAACGAATTCTATCACAATTCAATTCCTTTAAAATATTCTTGTAGTATTTTATGTATATATTTTATTCATGCAGCACATTATTAATGCAACATATAAATGGGTTGAAATATTGCCTGTGGTTTTTATTCTATAGTTTTGCGAAGTGCTGCGACCACAGTCATATTCACATTTAATTTTTCGTGTCTGTTTTATACGTTTCGTGGTTTTACCATCTTTAAGACGCTAGGTCACCAATGGAAGTTTTTTTGCCAAAGTCGCTATGCATGCCTTCATACATTTTAAATCACTTAAAATATGGTAAGCATTTTCCTTCATATCGTCACAGGTTTTCTGTTCAGAAAACGCGAAAGTCAGCCCTCCTGATTCGCTGTTTCAAAGAATTGTGTACAGAGGGAAAGAAGATTTGGAAAATCTTAAGGAGCACGTGTCCGAGAAGGCGCTGTCAATGGTTTTGGGAGTGTTGGCAACGAAGGTGCTGAAAAACCACGATGAAAGAAAACGAAATACCGTCATTCGATGCACGGAAATTTCCATGAAATTTGAACAGTACAAGGCATGTCTGAGACCGCTGTTCGTCAAGGAAGCCAATGATGATATGAGTTTGAGTTCGGCGACCGGCACTCAAAGAAAGCGCATGCTTCAGCAGGCGAACCAAGGCGGCAAGATTTTGGTAAGTTGGTAGAAGTTTATTTCCTCTCTCGCAAAACTGTTACCGGTACTATGGGCAAATTAACTACACTGTAACCGCCATTCTTCAGCGTTCCTTACGAAACATTCGAGCGTTGCAACTTGTGGCCACAAAACCAGTTTAAAGAGAGAATGTTGAAGGCATTTTGACCCTGGCAGCATTGCTATCTGGAGTATATAACTGTTTCTGGTAGGGACTCCCATGCTATAATGGAAAAAATGAAATTAAACAAATGGCATTCCACCTTGAAGGTGCTTAGGCTTAATCATCTGTCGAATAAGCTTCGAAATATTGCCCAAAAAAGGCAGCAGTGCGGAGACGTTATCGCCGTATCGAAAAGAAGGGGATGAGGGAGACGACAGCAACAACCAGCACATATCACCGTTCATCCATTCCGGTAAAGTGTAGTAACGTGGTGCTGAAGTGCTTGAAGAATGCTTGATGGACTAAGAGGCTGAAGACAAGCAACGTGGCCTGCTATGCAGCGGTAGATCAGTCAATTCATGTACTGCTGTCTGGTAGACCACTGAAGAATGCTGAGGCAGCCATCCTCAAAATATGGCAATTCATTTTGAGTTTGTAACTTTAGAACGGAAACCTATGACAACATGGAATTTTAAAGTACAAGTAAGAAGTTACAGAGTAATTTCAAAGTAAGCTCACTGATATTCCAGGTACTAAAAATTTATAGGAACTTTGGATAAACGTGTATTTATACCCAAGTAATTTAAAAGAATATCAAAATGTGCGCTATCACTCTAGGGTGTGGCATGGCGATGCAGTGCCTAAGAGGTCTTTATCGAACTCCGGAGATTTCAAATTTTATCCCCCTAAGTGGAATCTTCGTCTTATTCACGAATTCTCTTAAACAAGCAATTTACCACGCTTTGTTTCAGACCGGAATTTCTCAATTGGTAGATTGCATGACTCAGAACCTTTAGGTCTTAGCTTCGAGCCCGTCAGAGTGTTTGCTTTTATTTCTTCTGAGGCTGACACATAAGCACCACTTTAGGGAAATGAAAGGAAGATTATGTACGATGCTTGCCACATTGCTGCTGCCGAATTTACTTTCAAAACAAGGCACGTCTGGCTGGTGGTCCAGACATGGAGGTCATTAAGGTCTCGTTCGTTTCGTACAAAGACCGCGACAGAAATGACCCAGAGATGGAGAATGAGAAGATCGACATTCCAACGGATGCAAACCTTCCTTTCCCTCCACCCTGCTTCCGGGAAAAAATCAGGACGTTCGTGCATCTCAAGTGATGAACCATCTACCAGAAAGAACAACCTTGATATAACTGCTCACATTTTGGACACGAGTTTAAATAGTGCAGTGTTGACAATTTGGATGTTAATCTATAACATTAAAGCATAGGACAAAAATAGACGAAAAAAATGTTTTATGAAAGGAATAAACGAAACACTGACAAATGAAAAAATCCAGACAAATGCTATTAAACGGGATTATGGAAGCCACGCTTAGATTATTGCGCAGCTTTCTTCTAGGCGTACTTTTTGTCATGAAGGCATTCAGATTGCATTCCTTTTCTTGCGGCTAAGTTTTTTTCGGATTATGCTAGTTGATTCCCATCGTATAACACTGTGCTTTTAAATGCTGCGTTCTGAAACAACGAAATATTTATTTTATCTCCATCCTATGCTTAAACAGGCCATTTTGTTCCCCCATCTTGTTCATATATTTTCTTCCTGTTTCCCCAAAGTAAAAACCATACAATTAATGATTGCGGTTACCTCCTGCTTAGGTAAAGTTCCATTCTTATACAGGAAGACTCCTGTGTTATACGGTAAGTTCTCCTCAGTCGCTGAGTTGCCAATAAGCACAGCTGACAAGCTTCAACTTCTCGAATGCCACCCAGTATCTACTCCTACCATTGTGCCATTTATGGAGGTCTTTTTTGAGAACATTGAATACTTTGGTTTACGAGCAAGAACCTCAACCTTTTTATTGTTCAGAACTGTGTTGCTTTGATTAATTAAAGCATTCATTTTTTGAAACCAGTGGTCACAGCATTTAAATGACCAATCATAGATCAAACGATCTTATGCAGCCGACACTGTATTACAAATTTTTCGCTTCAACGCTTTAAACTTAGCCCCTAAGAAATACTGAATCTGAATGAGCCAAGCGATTTTGACGGGAATTTAAGTAAAGATTATCTAATTTACTTCAGCCCTGTTTTTTCGTATTAGTTATGCAAATGTGCTTAGGTAAAACATTTTCAAGATTCATTGTTCATGCTGTATTATTCATTCTCTAGAGATGGACCAACGTAGGTTTCAACTTGTAGTTCTTGCACATCTTCAGGAAATATTAGTCGCAATCGACAACATTCCCTTTCTAGCCTTTATACCACTGGCTACAAGAATAGCAAGTTTGCTGTAGAATAATCATCGACCTTTCAACGACTCCTTCATCGGTTTCTTTTAATCTCTGCTATACCTTCCAAACATCCTACATTTTCTACTCATTCTTTGTGATTTATCTGTATTTTATCATCTTTATTCTTACTTTAATTGTATACCCTGTGATAGACTCTGATTATGACTTCTGTACCTGATACCCCTGGAATAAAGGAAAAAATTGCATGTCGCCTAAGGCCATTGTTCCTATTAAAAGGTTGACATTTTTAAGTTAAAAAAATGACAGATTAATTGGATTAGCTAAAACATAAGTAGATAATACAAATTAACAGCAGGAAAACAACATACGGATGCGAAAGATCGAGACAAGCAACGGGAGGACTGCCGAGTCTGAAGCAGTCTGTAGTTTCGCAAGGACGCCAAAAACGATTATGACAGAAAAAATCAAAATGTGGTAAAATAATACGGCACTCTGCGCGAATTGGAGGAGCAGACCAAAACCGACCTAAGCTTTGTAACGCAGCCAACGAAATCTATTACAGTAACAACGTGGGAGAAGAGCCCTCCTTACCTCGAAATGAACCAGCTGTCGGAAACTACCAAACGAACTGTGACAAAAATATACTAACTTGGCCTGAGAAGGACATCAAGTCGAAACATCTGTTTTGATCTGTCATCAGAGAGCACTCTTCTGATTTTGCTGAAATAAAGCTTTTTTATAGTGTGTTTCACTGAAGCACGTTTAATTTCCTTCCACTTTTCTCATAGGTGATACCTTCATATAGGGCAAGAAATCTCTGGCTTTCCAGAATCTTAATGGTGCCTGCACCACAAAGGGCTGACCGCAATGAGGTTAGACGCATCTGATCGAAGCAGAAAACAACTGTCTCTTAGTCATCAGTCAAATAATGTCGTTTCCTTTATATGAGTATACCGTACTATGATAAGTTCGATGCAACAGCTCTTAGAGTTCTTCAAAGATCTCTATTTTAGGCAGCAAGCAGAAGCAAACGGTCACTACTTTCAGCTGAGCAAGAGCAACGTATACTAAAGCAACAGCAAAGTATAAACTATAATTATAACTCGCAATCATCTGTTTCCAGAGTCATGGCTGACGCGATCCTCGACCGTTTCCACCAAGCTAAGGCTTTCAGTCTGGACACTTATCCAGGAAGCAATTTTAGCAAGAGATCTTGGCGCGAAGCGCGTAAGAAAGCGTTGGACCGCATAACACGTAAAATGCTCATGCTGGATGACACTGAATCGACAG